ATTCCAAATATATTTGCACTTAGACCATCATGGAATTATGTAATAATATTTATTTTAACAAAATATTGTCCATGCTGAGATATACACACACACACATATTTTACCTCAACACTATGTTTTGGACACCTTTACATGTGGAAATATATAGGCATTCATTGTCTCTACTACTCTGTAATATTTCACTGCACATGTAAGCCATATTTATATGATTCATATCTTACTAAAGGATAGCTAAGTCCTTTTTTCTTTCCTTATCTTCCTCTTCCTCCTCATCCTTCTTTTTGTTCTCTTCCACTTCCTCCTTTTTACTCTTTTTCTCCATCCTTCGTATCTTACTCTTCTATTTCTCTTCCTCCTTTCCCCCATCATACCATACCTCCTTCTCCTTATGTTCTTCCTTTTCTGCTCCTTATGCCCTCCTCCTCTTTTTGATCTTCCTCCTCTTTGCTTAAACATAACGATTCTGCATTAAGTCTACTGGATTTCTTAATTTTGATTTTCTTAGTACTTTGCTTTCCTTTTCCTTTTTACTTCTTCCCCTCTATACTTACATTGGGATTCTAGTCTCCCCTCTACTCTTATAACTTTGGTCCATGATATTCTTCCCCATCCCCCCATTCTGAGTAGTCTGGACCTTCACTTTGACTTTTATTTCCATTGATAACTAAGATGAGAGATGTTAATAGTCTTGCTGATGATTACATGGTAATTCCTGTCAGAGCCAAGGTAGAACTCGGTTTTCCTGGGTTTCAGAACTAAGGTCTTTTCACTAGATTGAATTGCCTCATCATGGCTGAGGTTAGAAACAGCCTAAAAAAAAATAGCCTAAAAAAATAGCCAAAGGAAAAAAAAAGAGAAAAAGAAAAAGAAACAGCCTCAAATGTACTGTGCAAGTCACAGAAGCAAGCAAACAATGATAACAGCAAACAAAAATAAAGAAAAGGAGAGAGACGAATACTCACTAACTTAACTAGAGGGACTTAAATTTAGTGTTTTCTTTGCTCAGTGACTTAGTGTCAGGTGAATTAAAAACAAGCTCTTTGTGGGGTACATGCACCCTGATGTTTATAGCAGCAATGTCCACAATAGCCAAACTGTGGAAAGAGCCAAGATGTCCATCGACAGATGAATGGATAAAGAAGATGTGGTATATATATATATACAATGGAATATTATGCAGCCATCAAAAGGAATGAGATCTTGCCATTTGCAATGACGTGGATGGAACTGGAGGGTGTTGTGCTGAGTGAAATAAGTCAATCAGAGAAAGACATGTATCATATGACCTCACTGATATGAGGAATTCTTAATCTCAGGAAATAAACTGAGGGCTGCGGGAGTGGTGGGGGGTGGGAGGGATGGGTTGGCTGGGTGATAGACATTGGGGAGGGTATGTGCTATGGTGAGCGCTGTGAATTGTGTAAGACTGTTGAATCACAGACCTGTACCTCTGAAACAAATAATACATTATATGTTAAAAAAAAAAAAAAGAAGATAGTAGGAAGGGATAAATGAAGGGGGGAAATCGGAGGGGGAGACGAACCATGAGAGACTATGGACTCTGAGAAACAGACTGAGGGTTCTGGAGGGGAGGAGGGTCGGGGGATGGGTTAGCCTGGTGATGGGTATTAAAGAGGGCACATTCTGCATGGAGCACTGGGTGTTATACGCAAACAATGAATCATGGAACACTACATCAAAAACTAATGATGTATTGTATGGTGATTAACATAACAATAAAAAAAGTAAAAAAAAAAAAGTGATATAGCCAGTAAGCAACAGAGGCAGGACTTGACCACAGATCCAAGTCCAAAAACATACTCATTCACTTATGTTATAAGGCAGTACTAAAAGTTGAAATCTAGTTTTGTTCTATCTTAGGTAAGAAACCTATCACCCCAGAACTGATTGGAACAAGAATATATAGCTCTAATTTGTGGAATTTTAAAGAAAAAAAAATGATACAAGCAGCTTTATAATGTAGGAACTCTATGGAAATACCTTCCCTAGCCCTCCTTTTACTCCTAAAGACAAAAACAGAAAAAAGAAATAAAACTTCATGATGGTTAAATTTCCAGAAAAAAAAAACCAAAACAAGCTCTTCGTGAATATTTGCCTACTTATGTTTGTTCCAAAAGTATTAAAAATGCATGGCTGTTAACCAACCCAACAGTGTCATTTGACACATAAGCTTATAGAGCATAAGAAATAGTCAATAATATCTGTACTTAGAGGTAAGAGAATCATGCCTGATATATTAATTTAATTTCTTTTTCAGAATTAAAAGAGTTTGTATACAGATTCTGTACATAATATTAGGTAGTCAAGATTTGGTCTTTTAATCTTTTCCCTAAATCCTCACAAGTAAATAAAGACATTATAAATATTTGATTAGGTAAACCAAATTGGAAGATGAAAACAATTGGTCTTATTAAGTGTCTCTTGGCAGTAAGTTTTTGCAAAGCCAAGGTCTCTTCCTCTGTGGCTTTTCTCATGACCACTTTTGTTTCTTCTTTGGCATTTATTGCTTCCTGCTCTGCGGCATTTCTTACCCAAGTCACCCATATGACCTGTACTAAATCATGATTGTTTATTATGTTGTCCATTTATGATGTATCAATTGTTAAATTAATTAAATAAGGAGGCCATTATACTGGGGTGGCTCTAATCCTTGGCAGCCTATATAAACAAATCATAATCTAAGCCTGTAAATGTCTCAAGGTTAAGAAATTGAAACCTAAAGACAATTGGTCACAAAAAGCCAACTGGGTGTTAAGTTATAGCCAATCAATAGTTTTCTTGCTTTGCTTCTGCCTTGTCTCTGTAAAAGTCTCTCCCTGAGCTCCTGTCGATGGAGTGCCCCTAACCACATCTGGTTTGACACTGCCCAATTTGAATCACTTTTTTTCAAATAAACTCTTAAAGTTTTAAATTTACCTCAGTCTATCTTTTAACACTGTAAAGTAAAAAGACCACATTTGAAGAGCAGATGGAATTCTTTTTATGCTGCTGAGATTTACCTTTAAAATGAAAGGAGATTGAACACTTACTCCGGCATTGCTTCAAGTGTTTAGAAGAGTTTTTTTTTTGAGAGAAAGGGGGTATTCTCCTTGTGAATTGCCTTCAGAGCCAATTTCGAACAAGAAGTGTCCACCCACCCCCATAAATCTGGAGTAGTAAAACAGTTACTAAAAATAGTCCACTTATTGCTTTTGCATCCCTCGGTAAGCTCACCAACATTTCTGTGTTTCAGTTTCTTCAACTCTAGAATGATGATAATAGTAGGCCTTAATTCACAGAATTGTTCGAAAGGAATTAAATATCTTAAGTACTTAGAGCAGTGCCTGGCACATGATACATGGTATTTGCCTTGCGGTGTCTCCTCCTCCTACTATTACAGCTCCCGCTACTTCTACAACCACGGCTACCACGAGTAACAGTCCTCCCTCCTTCCGTGTTAATTTAAGAATTTAGTGGCTCCAAGTGACTTTTGGCTGTGTCTACACACAAAACATCCCCCAAAGATGAAGATTTGCTGCTAATGACAATGAAAAGGTGTATTGCAAGACCTAGTCAATTCTGAAAGAGCAGTCCCCAAAGTGTTTTGAGCAATGAAGCGACATTGGAATAAACCTAAAGCCTCTCAGATGATGGCTTGGAAGGCAGCCCTTCTCATCCGGATGTATACTGAACAATTTTTAAATAGTCAGTCATATTCTTTACATCTTGTTTCTCCAATATAAATACACTTCTTGAAGACACAAGTTGTATTTTCCACTTCTGGGCACTCCCCATAGCATTCAGCACACTGTTTTACAAATTGCAGATGCTCAATAAATATGTTGATTAACTGTTGAGGTAGAGTTGAGGGGAGGAGAATTAGGAATAAAATGTTCTCCAGTTAATTGCAAATTGCTTCCCTACTTAAAAATAAATTTGCATTTTATTATCTTTTTCTCCAGTTTCTGGAAAATGCTTTAGTTGGCGTTTGGTATTTGATTTTATACAATTTTGTAAATTTCATGGAAATCTAAATTCTTACAAAGGTTTTGTTGTAGGATTTTCTGTTTTTATTATTGTTGCAAAATGGAAAGAGTTGTTAGTGCAAAGGCAAGCCTGTTCCATCACATTTCATGAAATGTGTTAAGAGAATCATTGAAATTTAGAGCTGATAGGAAACATGTTACAGCTTAATCACCCAACAAGCTACTTTGGAACACAATGGAAACTTAATAAGTCATTGAAAAATGTATCATTTAGTACATTATCTTCATTTCACAATTGAAGAAACTGAGGCCCAGATTACCTGCTCAGATAACATAGGAGGGATTATAGTAAATGTTCTTTGATGTCATTGTGCTTTAAATATGGATTTCACATGTACATTGTAACATGGAAAAAGACTTTAAATTTAGTGTTTGAAAAACTTCCTTTATTTTAAAGTATGCAAATGAATCGAATTCTTAGGTTAGTATCTGTTACATTTTAGGAAGGCAATAGTAAGAATTGTTTATACAAATCAAAAGGATTTTTTTTTAAGGGGAACCCAGACTAAAATGTCTTTTAAGTGGCTTGTTCAAGGCCTGTCAACCTATTCATTTCCTTTTTCCCTACCATAAGTTTTTGTTGTCATTTTGTTGTTATTGTAAGTGATTAGGAGTTCTTAACCACTATGAAAGACTCTCTGTTGGAACCGTGTATCTTTCTGAATACATAACACATCTCTTACTTCTGTGTATCTCTGAGACTTTCAAGAAATGTTGGTTATTGGGGCACCTGGGTGGCTCAGTGGGTTGGGCGTGGACTCTTGATTTCTGCTCAGGTAGTGATTTCGTGGTAGTGAGATCGAGCCCCCACGTCAGGCTCAGGCTTGGAGGCTCTTTGGGATTCTCGCTCTCTGCCCCTTCCCCCCAGCTCCTGCAAACGTACCCTTTCTCAGTCTCTCTCTAAGAAAAAAATATATTGGTTATTTTGTTGGTTGATTTTCTGTTATTTTACAGGATGGCAAAACGGAATCAAGTTCGTGTACCTGTTTGAAGGGACCCAAACTGTCAAAAATAGGAACAATCGCCTGGATGATAACGCTCAGTGACGCCCTCCACAATTTCATAGATGGCCTGGCGATTGGGGCTTCCTGCACCTTGTCCCTTCTTCAGGGCCTCAGTACTTCTATAGCAATTCTGTGTGAAGAGTTTCCTCATGAGTTAGGTAAGAGGCTCTGTTCATACTGTGAAAGTCAGTCACTTCTTGGTTTCGGTGGGTGAGACCTTTTAGGCGACACACTCTTAAAAATCCCACTGAGACATCAAAATGAGGGAACCCTGGTTGGACATCAATGCGTATCTTTTCTCATCCCAAAAGAGCCCAAACTATTCACTTGATGTTTTTTTCTTCTTCTTCTTCTTCTTCTAGGAGACTTCGTGATCCTACTCAGCGCAGGAATGAGCACTCGGCAAGCCTTGTTATTCAATTTCCTTTCGGCGTGTTCCTGCTATGTCGGGCTAGCTTTTGGCATTTTGGTGGGCAATAATTTTGCTCCAAATATTATATTTGCCCTTGCTGGAGGCATGTTCCTCTATATTTCTCTGGCAGATATGGTAAGAAATTTTAAAATTTTGTTTTAATTTAAAATTTAGAATTAAACATCTGGGTTATGAGTTGACTAAGGGTAACCTTCCGCTTTCCACAGTGTGGAAGTTCTGTTGTAATTTAAAACATTCTGGCTCGACAGATAACTCTTTTATATTAGTAGTAATTTGAAAGTGATTCTCACTGATCTTTCGATCTATGATCTTATTGGTAGAAAAAGAAATGATTTTCTTCTGCTGAAGTAGAGATATTTCCCCAGGTTTTTTGCCTTGTGGGAGGTAAACCTTGTTCTCTATTATAGTATGTCCCCACGGGACCTCTCCCCCCTCTTTTGTGAGGATGTCACATTTAGAAGGGAATAACTTGTTAGAGTAAATAGCATTTTGTTATTTCAAAGTTATAAGCAGTGGCAGTGTCTTTCATGTGTGTGTGTGAGAGAGAGAATATCAATGGTCCTGTGCCCTGTGCATTTTCAAATGAATCATAGACAGCTTTCTAGAAAATGAAAATATGCTCCATATATGCAAATCAAGGAACATTTCCTTTGCATTTGGAACTGAATATGTATTACATACATAATTTAATAATTTAGCTTCCTTCATCTGCATTCTTAGCTCCAAATGATAACTGTCTAGCTTTGTTCCTTGCTCTTTGCAGGCCCTTATCAGAGCAAGCATTTCATCTCTTGGAACTGTCACTGCATTTATATTTTTCTTCACAGAATTAATGTCTCATACTGTATGCTAGGGCATCACTTCTTTCTTGGTTATAAGAATGGAATCTATTAGAATTGTTCAGTTTAAGGAAATAATCCTAATAAATGATGCCATATACCCTTATAGCAGTTTTGCTTTTTTCAGAATAGTTTCACAACTTTCACTCACTTGATCCTGGTAACAACTTTCTTAAATCAGGCACATGGATTGATGGGATTCTGGAGACCTCTTGGATGCTTTGGTACAATGTGCCATTGTATATATAGCAAATGGTTTTGGAATATGTTTTTAAAAGCCGGCATTTACAGATCTTATGGAGCCTTTTCAGTAGAGTTTATTTGCTGAGTGAGGGTAGATTTTAAGTACAGAACTTAGAGTTTTATTTGCTTTTACTGTAATGTGATTGTTATAGCCTTCAATCCTAAAAGAGCACATGATTTATTTAAAAACCTTAAGGTTTTGGGGCGCCTGGGTGCCTCAGTCATTGGGCGTGTGCCTTCGGCTCAGGTTATGATCCCAGGATCCTGGGATCAAGCCCCGCGTCGGGCTCCCTGCTCGGCTGGAAGCCTGCTTCTCCCTCTCCCACTCCCCCTGCTTGTGTTCCCTCTCTCACTGGGTCTCTCTCTGTCAAATAAATAAATAAAATCTTTAAAAAAAATAAAATAAAAACCTTAAGATTTTGTGAGGGGTAGAGCAAGCAGAAGGAATTAAATGCGTAGTGATTTCTAAAAATTTACTTGATCAGCTACTATTGATTGATATTTCCGTGCCTGGCCTGGAATTTGTAAGGCACTGGGGACACTGGGGTCAGGAAAGGAAGCACAGGCCCTGCATCTGTGGGGCATTCTGTCTTTAAAGAGAGGAAACTGGAAATTCAATGAACAAAATCACACTCCATGACTAAATAATTAAAAGTAAAAAAGTCTGTGAGCTAAGAGGAAAAGCAATCTCTGCGGTGAGAGATGATGTTAGGGGAATCTAATATAGGTTAGGAGGGGCTAAGGGAAGCCTTGCTAGAAAGTATGATTTAAGCTGAAACCTCAAGGGTATAACTCATTGAAAAATTGGAGGGGGAAGAGTTCAGATAGCAGTTTGGCTGGGTGTGAAGATTTTGATGGGGGAAAGGGTGGATCTAGTTGAGGTCCTGAAAGAATGGTGTGGATGGAGCATAGAGAGTGAGGGGGAGAGAGAGAGACAGAGAGACAAATAGGAGGCATAAAATGAGGTAAATCCCATTCCACTGATTCACTCACTTGGGGAACACTATTTCCATACTTTTATTCCTGTTGGTGTCTGATAGGGCTAGATCTCCCTTTAATGCTATCTATACTAAAACATTTACACATCCAAATTAAATCCTCACCCCCACACCCCACAGAAATCTCTAGGCGACTGTTTTACATTTTACCACCAGATGGCAATAGTTATCTAACAATGTCTCTCTCTTAGTTTCCAGAGATGAACGATATGCTGAGAGAAAAGATAACTGGAAGAAAAACCGATTTTACTTACTTCATGATTCAGAATGCTGGAATGTTAACTGGATTCACAGCCATTCTGCTCATTACTTTGTATGCTGGAGAAATCGAATTGGAGTAATGGGAAATGAAAGATGGTGTTATTAATGAAGGCATTTAATAAATAAAAACATCTCCAAAGGGATATTTAAGCTGATCCTATTTAGTTCAAAGATAATCTTGTTTTCAACTGTAGGTCAAGAAAACTGATTATTGGTTTCAGATCTGCTAAATAGGCCATTATCTGTTGTGAAAAATGCTTCAAAGTGTTTTCAGTTCCCGTCCGAAAAGGCTGGGACACGCGATCTTTGGTCAATACCCACTTCTTCCTCTTTCATGCATTCTATGACCACTTAGACACCCAGACCCAGAGAAAAATACGAGCTAGGTTGTATAAGCCTTTAAACCTCCGTGGCAGGCTCAAAAGCTCACGCGGTTTCAGAGTGGTTTTCTTTCAGTTAATTTGTTCCAGTGATTTCACGACAAGTACATTCAAATGTGGAAGAGGATTGACATGTATACAACACAGATAGAAATGATTGCAAGGCCTTAATGAGCCAGGAAAGAAAGATTGCTTACAGCTTCTGTTCTGTTTTATGTACCCGTTAGGGACTCGTAGGATTGTTTTAAAAACCATCCTAAAAAAAATGTGAATTATGATACCAGTAAAGTTTTGTTAGCCCTACTAAGTTCAGACTTTATCTCACATCTTATCGCTATGTGAAAGCTCTGCCAGATCCCACACAAATCCAGAATTAATTTTTTTAAATGACTTAGGTTGCAATCGCACCAAGGCACACGGCAGAAAGTGTGAGGCTGGGGCTGCTCGGCTTCAGGATACCGTGCATTTTTGCTTTGTGAAGGGAAAGACTATGTTGGTTTATAGAAAGATACTGAATGTAATTTTAAGCAATTTACTTTTAAAAATAAACACAATTATTTAGCAGAAAATAACAAAATAACAGGCAGACCACTGTATGGCAAGGACTGATTAACTAGAAAACACATTCCTTAATGGATAATTGAGAGCGATCAGTAAAGACTTCTGTGTTCAGTCTACATTTTTTCTATATGGCATACCTTGAGGAAAACTTCCACACACCATGGTTATTTTTGTACCTCTTTTAGGTGATAGGGCCTATTTGCTCCCTTAGCAGCTATAGAAAGCTGGTCTGCAGTTGAACATCCTGACCCCAATTCACACTCCCACGGCACTTCAGGGGAGATGATTGACAGTGAGGAAAGTGATGGATAAAAGCCAACAATGACCTCAGGAATCACATTTTCCCACAGGCCATACAGTGATGTCACACAGCAACAATGCAGATTAGATCAACGTTTAACACGTCTGTTAATGTAGAATTCACTTTATGACTGACAATTTAAAAAATTCTTGTTTGACCAAATAGTAAACACCTTTGAAGCCATGCACTGTGTCCTTCGTTATTCATTTTAATATGTATCCTTTTGAGTGACTTCCATGTACCTGGCATTATGGGGAGAGAGATATATAGGAAATTGGTGATGTGTTTATTGCAAATATAACAAATATTATTTGTTATTCAGCAAATAAATACTGTAAAGATTAATCAGTAAACATAGAATCTATTTTTATCATTTAATCTGTTTACATTCAGTCTTAAGAAATAATCTTTACCTTTTTAAAGCACAGATTGTATGTCTGGGTTAAGAAGCTATTTACAACATGATATTAAAACAAGATAGTTTAATGAACTGTCATTTGGCGTAGATCATTGTGTATGTGGGCTACCAGGGTGCTTTATATGACTTTCTCCACCTGTTGATCTTTTGACCGTTTTCCTCAACTATGAGGAGAGCAGAGGCAATAGGACACGGAGGCCCAAAAAGCAAAAAGAAAATTACTACGTATTGGAGGTTATGGTTGCAGGTAGAAAGTAGGATATGGAAAGCCATGATTGCACTTAAATTACCCTAGATAACAATTCAGAAAACTGGTTAACATATCTTATACTGAGGCATTCGTTATGCCAGTTGAAGGTTCTATAATTTGCAAACTTTAAAGATGCTACTATGACACATCAAAAATCATTTCAACGCATTATATTTGGGGTTATGTCCTTCTACTTTTGCATTATTGAACTTTAAAAAAATGCCTACTACTAGCTGGCATTTTTTTTTTTTTTTTTGAGTACTGAATCAGACCCTGTCTGACCCAGGCTACCACAGACTGGGGGGCTTGTAAACAACCGGGATTTATTTCTCACAGTTCTGGAGGCTGGAAGTCCAAGATCAAGGCACTGGCTGATCTGGTGTCTGGTTCATAGATACCACCTTTCTTGCTGTGTCATCATGCAGGGGAAGGGGAAGGGAGCTCTCTGGAGCCTCTTTTAAGAGCATTAATCCCATTCATGTGGGCTCCACCCTAAGGACTTAAGCCCCTCTCAGAGCCCTCCCCCCCCAATATCATCATCTTTGGGGGGTTAGGATTTCAATATATAAATATTTGGGGGATGCAGCTGACCCCTATTACCATGCTGACATGGAGAAACAACCCACCCGAAGAACCTGAGGCTCACAGCATGTTATTCTCATGCTCACAGGTCTGCAGACGAGGTTCAGCTGATCCAGCCTGGGCTCGGCTGGGTGGCCCCACTCCTGGCTGGGGGTCATCTAGGTTGGGCCACTGTAGTAGGAAGTGACACCGTCATGTGGCAAAGGGCAGAGGCGTGCAGTTCCAGTATAGGAGGAGAGTGGAGAAGTTCAAATGGTTTCAATTTACCTTTAGTCTCCAGAGACTATTATTTTTACCTAGTAGAAAAATAGCTCATATCAATAATAATTCACCCACAGCTTCCAGAATTAACTTCAACTCTAACATTTATCCTTATTCCTTTCCTAAGAATGATTTTCTGTCCTTTACCAGCATGTTCGTGTGTGTAAATGTGTGGGTGCAACATTGCTCTACCCTACATCAGGATAATTTGTTGTTCTTCAGTCTGTGAGTCTAACCCTGCCACGTCCATTTCTGCGGCAGTTACCTAGCATGGCCAACATGGGAGTCCAGGTGTCTAGCAGTTTCTGACTGGCATTTTGTAAAGATCTTGAGATGCTAGGTAAACTCTGCCATGTCTACAAGGCTTTCACCAGAGCTCAAATTTTTTTAAAAAAATGAACTAATTGAGAAGAACCCAAACAGCACTAGGAGTTTAGCAGATACTTAGCGTAGGTGTCTTCCCAGGGCTAATGGCTGATGGCCTGTGCCGGGGACGAACCACCCGTCTGCTGTCCCTGCTCTGACTGCCACTGACTTCCTTTGGGGCTCGCTTTGGTTTTTATCCGGGGGCTACCATGATTTCCAGACTCTCTCTGTGTTTCCTTAAGGTCCATTGGAGGACAAGAGGTTCTTAACCCTGCAATAAATAAATTCCCTCACCCCGACGTTGTTACAGCTGCTTTTTCACTGACACTTTGCCTTCTCCCCGCTGCGGGTTGCAATAGCTGAGCGAGATTGCATTTCCCTTAGCTGCCTTTCTGTGCTGACAGTGCACAAGGCATTCCCCTGAGGCCATTTAACTTCCTGTGTTGGAGGCTCCCAACTTCCGTAGGTCTCATAAGCAGGGACTTTACTAGGAAGAATTCAGGTAGGCTAGGGCAGCAGGATGGACTAAAAACTCTGAAGACCTGTTCCATTAATTCTTAAGATGGGCATTTCCCCCGTTTTAACATTTCCAAATGACATACTGCTATCGTTGGCAACCAGGTGGCATTGTTGAGATACTTAAAGTTAAGTGAAAATGAAAGTCATCTGCTGGGATCTGGTAAGGCCAAGAAAATGCCAGTATCACTGTGTTTAGCATTTGATGGTATATAATAATAGGCACCTAAACATGTTAGGTTTACTTTTCTTCCTACAAAAGAATGTGGAAGAAGCAATACAGGGCTGACATGGCAGTTCCTGGTCATTGGGGATCCAATCTGTCTTCTGTGGCTTCTGACTTTAAGAAGACTTCATGTTGTAGGATATTCGCTAGAGAAATCCAGTCTTGAAGTCTAATTCCACATAGAAGGGGGGGATGGGTAGAAAACAAAAAAATTCACATCCAGCTCTTCATCCCCCATAAAGGAGCCTCCTCAGAAAGAACATACAACAACCTCTACTTATATTCGCTGGTCAGAATGAGTCATTTGGCCACACTGACTTGAAGGAGAAGCTGAGAAATGTAGCTTCTAGTTGGATACACTACCATCAATAAAATCAGGGTTCTGTTACTAAGAAGAAGCAAAGAATGGGTATTGGGTAGACTAGTGGCCTTCTCAGGTATAGACAGGTTTGTGTCTGGTTCACTTGGGGAACTTATTGTTCTAGATGGTTCTGACACAGCCAGTTCAGGAAACTGCTTCTTTTAGGGATTCTCATGATTTCTTTCAGATTAATTCCTTGTCACCTTGACCATTTTAACTATACTGGCCCACCTGACAAGTCTTACCTCCAAAAAGTATTGTTCATACACATTGGTACTTCCCTTTATAGTTCCTCTGTCTTGGTCTGTTGTGAGTACTACTTATCTGATGTAAAGATGTAAAATTATGAATTGCAGGCAAAGTCTCTTAGGAAGAATTCAAGTCAGAAATGCCTCCCTCCCTCAAAAAAGCTGAAATAGTATATAAAACCTGTCTTGTTCTGTATTTTGGGGCAGGCTCCACAGCGGGCCCTGCAGAATCCTTAGTAGGAGCTTGCTGCAGTCGGGATGGACAGGGTGGCCTGGTGTCTGACTCCCCCCCCACAGGAAACAGAGAGGCTGAGAGTTTGCTGGTGAGTGGCTTTGGAGGTCAAGTGAGAGAGATACTGCTGCATTCGGCTAGACCTTCAGTCCTAGAGTTTTTGGACAAAGGATACATGAATATTTCCTTGGCCTGGTATGAGCCATGCAGTAGGCAAGAGATCTATCTGGTCTGGAACAATTTCAAGTCATGTGTAAGAGGGATATCATCCTGAGGACAGAGAAGGTGAGTACTGGGTGGATTTCCAGCAAACCACGGACTTAGTCAGGTGGGACAAGTGGAGGACTACGATACATCTTTGGGGGGGAGCCCCTCTGAAGAATCCTAAAAGTGCCAGAAGAGAATGGGTTAGCCTTAAGTACCTATCAATCCGGATGGCATGAAGCCACACTTTGTACCCATCAAATAAGAACTTTCTATGCCTCTTTTTCTCTTCTCCATCCAAGCACTTAACTCTGGAGGGGCCGGAAGAAACAGTTAGCAAACACGGGGAGTAAGAGAGAAAAAAGACAAGGATTTCTTCCCATGTGTCTTGTTTTTGAATAAAGATGGAAGTACTGATTGGTATATTGGGCTGGATACTTTCCATAATTGACCTGAGACTATGTGATTGTAGGACCTGATAACCTCCCAAGTCCTGTGTCAGAACAGTCATTTTGCTAGCCCCAGTTTTGCCTCAGGCAGGTGGGCAATAAAATCAAAGGTGTTTTTGGTTCGCCCTGTGAGAACTGCTTGTCAGTATGACTATATATACACTCTAAAAATTAGTACTCACAGCAACCCTGGGAAATGGGTTCTATTTTTAATAGCAGGCCAGGCTGGAGCTGAGAGCTGGCAGAGGGACGTGATATATGGTTGGGTGTATGGTTGGGGCAGAGCATGACTGAAGTCCTCCCATCCACCCTGCTGACCCCATGCAGCAGCTGCCAACAGCAGGAGAATCCCTTCCTCCTGCAGTATCCCCCAGGGCCTTCTCCTGAGAAAGCTCAGCATGGTGCTCACGCTATAGGAGAGGTGTGTAAACAATTCTATCCGTCAGAGTGGAGCATGTACTGAAGGGTGAATCTGGAACTGAGGGGTCATAAGTTGGTAAGTGGCGCAAGGAGTATGACCAAGACGCCATTATTCTGTGATGATGGAACTTTGTGCATTTGCTATGTTGGGAACATAAACTTTTCAGTTGTACAGAGAGGAGATCCACTCTCCACACTTCCATATCCTGCTGTTCGTCCCAGATGACTGACTTGTATGGCCATCAAAGGGCTTAGTCCATGGGGAACTTAAATAGGAGATTGGAGGGAGAGAGGAGCATGAGGATAGGATACCAATTTCCTTGACTATCTTCCCACTGGGTTCCCTTGGGTTGTTTGTGTTGCATAACAGAGGGGCAGCTCCTCTCTAGAAAGCCTTCTCCAGAGCAGAGCTTCTTACATTATCCAAATTCCAGTTTGTCACAGGTTGGTACTTTTGTAAATAGAATGCAAAGGAATTGCCAGAAAAATGAAGTAAAATTTAATATAAAGACATAGATAATCCACACCATTTTTATTTTTAGATACAAGAGACACATAATCATTCTATCAAATTGCTATTGAAATTTGTAAATGCTTAACCCTCAGTTTCTGTACCTACCTCATCTAACAGCTACTGGGCCAGCACCAGTC